GCTGGGACCTACAGACGCACAGCTCAGCGAATGACGCGTGGAATGAATTGAAAACTAAAATTAACTGGGTCATGCAATCAATATCGCGGTTGTACCATTACGAGCATCGCGCCGAACCAATACTTAGATTCGAAGCAGCACACTTAAATGGATCAACAGAAGAGATGAGATCTGGAGGCAACATTCGCTAAGCCCATGTGATACCACATGGCAGAATTACAAAGCATTCAGAAACTACTGCACATCGCTCATTAGAGTGGATAGGTACGAATGGCAGGTGCCCATGGTGTTGCAATTTACGAGTAACACCAAACTACTATACCGATTTGTGAGTGGCAAAAGAAAGGTTAAGCCCGGAATACCACCACTCAAGTCGGCCAGTGGCCTAACAACTACTGCTGTGGATACCGCGAACGCTCTACTCCTGCAGTTTGGCTCGGTAGCTACAAATATCATGGAACATTCGCCCCATCAACTACCAACAAATGTCATTGGCTTATCCAGCGTCAGCTTTACCCTAGCAACTGTTGTAATCAAATTACAGTCTCTCCGGGAGTACAGTGCCCCTGGAATCGACATGATTTGCCCAAAAGTAGTGCAAACTCTTGCTTCCACCATAGCAGCACCACTTGCAAAATTTTTCCAGGGTCTGCTTAACCCCCACACTCACATCTGAGTGGGAAAATGGAATTATCACTCCGATATACAAAGGTGGTAAGTGATCGTATTCTGCCAACTACCGACTTATTACTGTCCCTCTTGTTTTATCATAAGTGATGGGATCGGTAATCGTAGATGAACTGACGCGATGCTTTGACAGTCTACAAATAATTTCTAATGCCCAACATGGTTTCAGACGCAGACGATCTTGTCTTAGCAATTTGCTGCTTACTCGGGACTCATGGACCAGGGCGACTGATGAAGGAGTCCGCATATATGTGGTTTATTTGGATTTTTCTAAAGCATTCGACAGGGGCAAGCACTTCTTTCTCCTCCAAAAGCTTGCTGTCTACGGTATCAACGGTTCCCTGTTCACTTGCTTGGAAGACTACTCACACAACAGGGCAATCAATTAAGAGTAGTCGACACTCACTCTGAAAGCCTGTGCGTCTCCAGTGGTGTAATGCCACGATCCGTCCTCGGCCCGCTACTGTTTTTAGTCTATATTAATGACCTTCCAGCAGACATTCTATCCCCGATGCAAATATTTGCAAACGATGCTAAAATGTGGAGAGCAGTTCTCTCAGCATCCGACCGTGTCTATCTTCAGGATGATCGGGCTCAGATTACCGAATGGGCAGAAGCGAACCCTCCCACTGAACTCTGCAAAGTGCCACCTGCTGACGGTGCGCAGCAGCTTTGTTAACGCACGTTTTGGGGCAACACGTCCTGCAACACGTGACAAGTGAACGCGACTTAGGTATGGTCGTGCAAGAGAGTCTTGGCAATTCGCTCCAATGTTCGACAGCAGCAAGTGTGGCGAACCTGAACTTGAGACTTTGAGGCGAGCTCTCGACGACTAGTACCAATGCTGATTAACTCCTATATTCGTCCTCACGTTGAATATGCAATTCAGGCTTGGTGTCCATGGTTAAAACGAGACAATCGCCTATTGGAACAACCCCAAAGAAACACCAAAGGCAACACGTGGACTATCCGGTCTAAGTTACGAACTGCGTCTTCGTGTACTCGGTGTGTTCTCATCAGAATACCGACGGCTTCGCGGAGATCTCACATACCGGATACTAACTGAAAGCGAGCATCTATATACATCGCTGTTGACCCTAGCCCCTTACAAACAAAAACGAGGCAACCACCTGAAACTAATGACGCAACAATCCCGTCTGAATTGTAAAAAGTATTTTTACTCACTTAGAATCTGTTCTCACTGGAATGCATTACCAAGATATGTGGTGAACGCACCAGACATGACGACATTCGAAAGACTCTTAGACTTTCATCTTAGTGATAAATGCTACATAACAGTTTGATAAAGTGCAATGGTTTAACCACTGATACTTCACGTTCCACGTTGGGACATTTTGATTTTAGTTTTCTTGTGCCTATTCATCCTGTGGGTCGTGTAAAGTTGTGCTTTTTATCCCATCATACACCACTGAAGTTGACTATGAGATTAAACGGTGGTCTGCACTTCGTCTCTAAGTGATGGGGAGAGTTCGTTCGAAATTCCTGAAGTGACATCAAAATGAGGTAACCGATCGGCCTTTGCAAAGAGCACTTTGGAATATCAGATCGACATTGTTCACTCTGGTCATCCGTGCCTTATCTGTCCCCTCGCCTCAAATGCACATCTTGTTTGCTCGCTTAATTTCTCTGTGAGACCGTATTAAAACACAGTGTTGCAAAGAGATCTCTTTTCGGCAGTTCACATCAGGCAAATACAACTACAGGACTGTAAAATGCATTAGTAAACTGGTGAAAGTAACAAAGAGGACGGATGGGACGATTTGAACAGTTTTAGTATGTTCATTTGATGCTCGAATCGATTTAATCAGGTGACATCGTGATCGGGCTAACCGACAGCTAAATAACTAGTGTAAACAGAAAGGGCAAAATTACTAACCAAATAAAATTAGTTAATTACGCAAATGAATAGCACCCGGATAAGCGAGATACTCCGGGGAACCTTATCATCAGGGCCATGGCAAAGTCAAGGGTTGCACGAGCACCCTATGCTTGCATAGCTCTGGTTGTGTTAGCCTGATCGCGATGGCTTCAGCTGTCTGCAGGAGGCGTTTCCTTAGCCCTTTCGGGTATCGCCTCGGTACGGCATAATAGACTTTGAAAGCATCTTTTGTCAGAATCTGGTGCCCACTAAGAATCAGATGCTCCATAATTGAGCTTTTGATACTTCTGTGCATGCCTCTCCGCAATGACCCTGGACAATGTTCAGCCATTCGTACCGACAGACGCCTGGTCGTATGCCCGAGGTACTTTGCACCACAGGTGCAAGTAAACTGGTAAACAATGTACGATTCGGACGACACTGGCAGTCTGTCTTTAAGGCGTTGAGCTATGAAGGGAGCGGTCTCTGCAACTACATGCGGTTGGGCGGCCGGGTAGGTTCTTGCTACGGCATTAGAAAGTCTTCTGTTCAGGAGATCGAAGGCGATATCTCCCTTAAAAGGAACAGTGAGAAACACATCCTTCTTCGGAACCGTTGCTACGGGCTTATCCCGCTCACAGGTCATGGCATGCTTTTTGATGAAAGGCTCTGGGTATCCATTCGCAAGAAGTGTTTTCACAACTCGGTCCTTCTCATCTTCGAGAGTTTCGGGGCTACAAATTTTGGTGGCCCGGTAATTCAAGCAACGTACTAAGTTGCGTTTGTACCTCAGAGGGACAAAGCTCGAAAAGTGTGTGTACTGTCCTACCCACGTAGCTTTGCGGAAGACTCTACGCTCAAGTGATCCGTCCTCGCGCCTCCTCAACAGAACGTCCAGAAAAGCCAGCTTACCTTCATTCTCCATTTCACTAGTGAATTTTATTAAGGGGTGTGCACTGTTGAACTGGTCGAGCAAATGGTTGACATCAATGTGCGAATCACAGATGATGAAAGTGTCATCCATATACCTCCAATAAGAATCAAATGAGGCAATAAGCCTTTGGATGGGACCGCGCTCAAGCTTAGCGAGAAAGATGTCGGCAAGAAGAGGTCCAAGGGGGGACCCCATAGCCACGCCATCGATTTGCCTGTAATAGATTCCGTCAAACAGGAACTGTCTATTAAAGGTACACCGCAAGATTAACTCCTTGAGCTTGGGCACCGGAATGCCAACGTTTAGGTTCCTTTCCGTTATATACTCACAGATGAAATTAACAGTTTCAAACAGTGGGACATTTGTGAAAAGTGATTCTACATCAAAGGAAAACATTTGTTTACCATTTAATTTCAGCTCTTTAACTTTATCGACGAATTCGAACGAATCCTTCAAAGAATGAATAGAGAGTTCCTTACGTACGGGTTCCAATAACTGCACAATCCATTTCGCGACTAAGTGGTGTGCCGACGCGGACATGTCAATTATTGGACGCAGAGGGACTTGTGGCTTGTGTATTTTAGGCAAGCCGTAGAGCCGAGGAGGTTGGGAGCCAACTGGAGTTAACTGCTGAAATTGAATATCGGTTATCAATTTCATCTGTTTTAATTCTTTCAAGATCTTTGTAATCTTTGCTTCATCGTCTGCCGTCTTGTCCTTCTGAATTGTGTCATGCAAGAATTTGCTCGTGTCTTGCAGGATAACTTTTAATTTCGAAATGTAATCTGATTTGTCCATTAGCACCCATCCCGATCCTTTATCAGGTCTAGAAAGAATAAGATCAGGATTTGACCTCAATTCTTTGATTGCTTCTCGATGTTTTTTGGACAGAATGTTTGAAAATCTCTTCTCGCAGTGTAGATACTGTTGACAAAGGTGCACTAAGGTGGTTTTGAAAGTGTCTCTGGCCAGCGGCTTGAACCGCTCATAAGTACATCAAAATATATCCGCCCTGACCGTTTCTAAATGCTATGTCGTACATAGCTATTGTTAGTGAACGTCGTGTCTTTCGGAGCCAACCCTGTCCTCTGCAACTTTCGTAACTTGCATGGCAGTGGAGCATAAGACGCGCTATATCGCACAGCTTGTAAATCATGACGTCAGTGGCATAAGGTGCTGACTGGCGGTTCAAGCTGCTGCTGGTCATGAGTTCGAATCCTGATGGATCCGATGGATGCGCAATACTGACGATACCCAACAATCCGAAACTACGGTCTAGTGCTTTTCCAGGCATGTGGACGACTATCTGATTTGGAAAGTGGCCACGAAGAACCTCACTTAATTACATCAAAATCCCCTACTCATAAGTACATGGTAGTATTCTTTGCATCGTCTTTCCTTGTGTTCTGACATCAGTTTGACACACAACACATTTCACTCTCCTCTCACCATTCAATTAGCTCATATGCCCTCCTCCGTCTTCTCCTTCTCCCCCTTATAGTACATGATCATCCAAATGGAGCTGTGTGCAACGAAGACGCTGCGTCATGTGATCGACTTCGAAAGCCTCTCGGCAAATCCCGGTCGAGCATGGGGCCTGTTTCGCGAGTTGACTGACGGCCTCGCGTACATTCATTCCAAAAACGTGATCCATCGGGATTTGAAACCAGCCAATATTATGCTCGACACGAACGATCACGTGAAAATTGTGGATTTCGGACTGGCTACACGTACTGTGAACGAGCAAGTGGTCAACGTGTTGCATCACGTCGAGATGATGCAGGTAGCTTACCTATGAAATCGCCATTTCACTTATATTCTACCGTAAATAAATAAATGCTTTATTCCCGACAGTGCGGGGCACACTTGCGAAGGCATGATTGTGATAATACAAACAGGTACGGTCGGTGGTGATATAAAATATAGCAGCTTAAGCATTAACATACTGGATTTGTGTGTCTGTATATATGTAAGCGTATGTGACCTTCAATTTCTAGAACTGGAAGGTCAGCTACCAAATGTAGTAGTTCCCCTTAACTTTTGCCGAGGTGTAGGCGGTTTTTAGTCACGTGCAGAAACTAGAACCTTTCAGAACGTTCGAAATCGACGCGATCATCGATTACTCGCTAAAATAGTGGATTTTCTAGGCAGTTCTTACTTTATCCCGGACAGCTAGGCTCGAAGAGTGATTTCATGCACTCATTGTGAAGTGGACCACGGTCCAGCCACCGCCTTGTGTGCGATTGATTCCCAAATACAGCGTAATTGTATTTGTCTGTGTGGGCCGGCTCCGTTGATGAAACGTTGCTTCCATCCATATGCCTCTGGATATGGGGCGTGTGGATGGAGCTGTGGGTGGTGCAGCGCAAGCCACCCATGGTCCTTCTGTGGGCACAGGCGTCCTGTGGCTGGCCACAGTGACGGGCAACTCCGAAACCGGATTCCACTAACCGCCATTGTATGTGTTATTGGGCATGGCGAGTGGACTTTAGAAGTGTGACTGAATTCGTGAGTTTGTTTGCTGTGTTCGCCATCGTACGAAGGGATCAAAGGAACTCTTCTAACTGGATGACGTTAATGAAGTTGGGATTCCGCATCATTGCGCAATCAAGTTAATCCGCATGAGACCTAGAGCGTTCTATCTGCAGACACTGTTAATTACCTGCAGGGCGCTTACCGCCAGAGGGGTTTCATCGAATATCAGCACGATGCACATCGACTTGTACACTTGGCATTCCATTTGCCGTCGTGTTTGTCAATCTAGCTTGCACCCCGCTGCGTTTAGTTTGTCAAGGATTGATGTGACGGTTGTTCAAATCACAGCGCGTCCCGGTCTCAGCTGAGACTGACAATGTTCAAGTACACGCTTGATAGTCCCGCTACAGCCAACCTTATCTTCTGTTTTATAGACGGTCTCAATGAGATTGGACCTGAGCGTGGTGTGCATGGGTTTGCCTACCTCGTCGACCCGTTGAACTATACTGATTGCGGCCCCCGGGCATCTTGTGAGCTACTTCCATCAGGTTAGTCAAAGGTTAAAGGTCAGAAGAGCTCACTCTCCTGGTCCTCCAGTTTAGTGATTGGAAATTGGATGGCGTCCATTTCCATAAAACCGAATCGCTGCCACATCAGCTGCCTTGAGCCAAAGGTTTTGATTGAGTACCCTAATCGTTCTCCTGTCTGAGCGCTCTGACAGTATCTCAGCCCACCCACAACCGTGACAACTTCTTCATACTTCAACCGTATCCTACATCGGTCGTCGTGCCGTTTATCAAGGTTCGTCCTGTCTGCTGTATACGGAACAGCGGATAGGCGGAAACATGCTACTACTGGCGCCTCTCTTCTTTCCTTTTTACCTGTTTCTCTTACTCCCCTCCCAGTGCTCATTACTAATATACCTTCTATAATTCCCAGTTTAAGTGATGACGACGACATTGTCACTGGAGTTATATCATCTGCCTCTATCGGAGTTGAAGTTCTTCCAGGTGACCGACTGACAAACCTGGATTATGCGGACGACGTAGCTCTTCTTCGGTCTGACATAATGGCTATGGAAACACTGCTGGATAGACATGCTTCGGCATGTGCTTTACACTTTCAAAGTGCAAAGTACTGCTACAGGACTGGACCGACACACCTCCGGTTCTAGCCATCACCGAGCAGCCACCATAAGTCATGGATCGATAGCTGTATCACCACTGGTGGTCACATAACTGAGGAAGTTACTTCGCATATCAGCAAGGCCCGTTTGACTTTCCAGAGACTCAACCATCTATGGAGACGGCGGGATGTCAGCCTGTCAGTGAAAAGTCGAGTGTATAACGCTTCTGTAAGGCTGGTCTTATTGTATGGATCAGAGACCTAGCCAGTTCGCGGCGAAGACATCAAACGCTCGGCTGCGTTTTACCACCGTTGCTTGCAGAGTATTGCTCGTGTTTGGTGGAAACACCGGGTGAGTAACGCAGAGACTCGAAAATTGGTTTTTGGCAAAAAGCCTTCTGGCTCCTCACTCGAAGATTTGCTGAATTTTAATCACTTACGTTCCTTATGCCATATCCTCCGTATTTCGGTTTACCAGCTTCCTCGGCTCACATTATACGCTGTGGCGGCACCAAGTCGGGCGAAACCGCGTGGTGGCCAGTCCATGACGTGGCATAGAGGCAGGAAACAATTAACTGAGAGACTTTCTCTGGCTAGTGTGTGCGGTCTTCGTGGATGGGAGGCATCGGAACGATACATATCAAGGGTTGGAGACCATCTCAGACATGGCGCAGTCACGCAGTCATTGGCGTTCCTGCATTCGATTCCTTGCATCTGGTCGTTAATTTTCGTTTCGTTCATTATTGCTTCCATTTTCTTTACATTCTTTTTGCCTTTAATCCCACTATCTTGTCGTTGTTGTTGATTGTTATCCTTGCGATGTGAGTCATGGCAACTGGATCCACCGCACTTCGTTGCTCGGATCATAGTTGATCAACTGAACCGACTGAACATACCATCTGCCGACATCTTCTCGCACCATCCACTGGACACCACTCACCAACAGCTCCTTATAAGGCCACGCTGTTCCGTTTCCCTGACTGCGTTCAACATTCACACTCTAAGACAAATAGGTCAACAGACTGCACTCGTACCCTCCTTGGACCTGTGGGTATTGACGTGTGTTGTGTGTCGGCAGTTAGGATCAGCGGCCCTCACAGAGTTGTTGAATTGACTGCGCTTGGTTTGTTCTCTTTCTATTGGTTGCACGCAACCGGAAATGCTGATACGGCAACTGGTCATCGTTGGTTGTTTGGATTTCCGTGAGCAGCCCGTTTGACGACATCAACTAAGGTTGATTCACGAAGTAGTACACAACGCTGTTGGTAGTTTCGGCTTATGCTCCCACCAACTGCAGTTCTGATTCAGCCAAGGACGCCTACCACGAACTGAAGACGCTATTACGCACTGCTACCAGTTCAGATATCAAGGTTATTGCAGGGGATGTGAATGCGCAGGTAGATCGTCTGAGCTCTTCAGAAGCTTTGCTAGGTGGTAAGTATGGGCTTGACTCCGACCGTTCGGACAACGGCGAGCGTCTCTTACAGCTGGGTGCGGAGCACCGGCTGTTTCTCAGTAGCACCGCTTGTAGACACAGTGGACGCTGAAGTGCTACTTGGCATCCACCTATAGCTGACCTGCGATAGACCCAAATAAATCACGTTGCCATAAGTTACAGGTGTCATGGTTCCATCCTGGATTGTCGCTCATTCTGGAGTGCTTGCGTCGACTCTGATCATGCCTTGGCACGCTGTCGATTTTTCCTTACCTTTACCGGGAGGCGCACCAAGCGTCTCCCCTGATCGACAACTGTCTGAGCCCTTGGTCAGGCAGGTCTACCAGCATGGCTTGCGTACCCAACTTTCGCTACCTTGTCCTAATGATACTGCGCTTCACTGGAACAGGATCTCGGCCACTATACACCATGTAAGAGCCTCTACTTGCGGCACTATCAATCGTCACCACACTGGATATCTGAGAGGTCAATGAATCTTTTGGAGTCCAGAAGAAAACTCCCAGCTGGCTCTGAGCACAATGTAACTAGGCGGACTATTAGGAGCGATCTATAGCGGAGCCTGCGCTCTGACAAAGTGGCCTGGTGGTCCACTCTGGCTCAAGAATTGAAAGAGACGGGAGCAGTAGGCAATTATCGCAACCTCTTCCAACTGATCCGCTCCACTTCTCCTAGAAAACGAGGCGTCAGCGAGACAATCAGAGACAGCGCGGGTGCCATTATTCACAATCGGGAGCGCCGTATGGCTGATTGGGTGGGTGCTCTTTCGAGATCGGTTCAGTTGTTTCCCTGCTTGTGGACCTCTTCATACTCAGGTATTGCAGGCTGAGCTATGGCCGTTTAGTTAGAGGCTCCATCGGAAGCTGAGGTCCGAAACGCGATCGCAGTCCTTAACCATTTTCGTGCTGCTGTCCCGGATTCCGTCTCACCTTCACTACTTAAAGATTATGTGAGTTCCGCTGTAAAGCATTGACCTCACCGTTCGAGCATGTCTGGAAGGAAGAGACCGCGCCGCATAATTGGAGTGAATCGGTTATAGTAGCGATTTACAAGAGTGGCAGCTGCACCGACTGTGCTAACTACATGGGTATTAGTCTAACGCCAGTGGTACCAAAGTTCGTCGTCTCACTAAGGAACGGGAATACCCTATTAAGGAAGAGTAAACCGGCATCTGTGCAGAACGGGGCTTTGTAGACCATATGCTCACTCTGCGGCAAGTGCTAGAACAGCGCTACGCGTACCTCAGGTCAACAATAGCGGTGTTCCTGGACTTTTTGGGTACGTCCTACTCAGTCGATCGATACCTTCTGTTCGAAGTACCTGTGCGGAAAGGTGTTTCCATGAAATAAGTGTACATTTTACGTGCTCTATACTCGAACGCGCAGGTCGTATCAGGGTCTACGGTGAGCTGTCGGATAGCCTTCAGACAACAAGTGGCGTTCGTCAGGGTTATCCAAATTCCTCATTTTTGTTCAACTTCGTCGTGGACTCCACCCTATATGTTCCCTTGCGGAGCCTCACGATGTAGGCGTTGAATTGCTTCCTGGTGAAAAGCTAGTTGATCTTAATTGTGCGAATGTTGTCATGCTTTTTAACGATGTTGGGGCGACGTAATCAACCCTGAATAGCCTCTCTATACTGGTACCATTATTTTATATGCACTCCGTACGTTTAAAGTGCAGTGTTGCTGCAGGACCACCCGTCACTGGATGACGCCTTCACCCTTGATAGCGAGGAATTCGAGGTAGTTGATCACTTCATCTACCTTGGCACCTTCATCGGCAACGAGGTGCACGGAACGATTGTAGTCATTTAATACATTGCAATAGATGGAACTATGTTCTTGTATCTGCGACATTTTTGGCCCCAGAAGGGTTTCCCTCCGTCTGAAAGGCTTTGTATACAGGGCCACAGTGAGAGGCGTTCTACTCTATGAGAGTGAGGCTTGACTCCTCGGATCAGAGGGCTTTCGGTGCCTTCAAGTCTTTGATACTCGCTGTCTGAGGAGCATTACTGGTGTCGGATGACATCAGCTTGTCTGCATAGATGATGTGCGTAAGCGAGTGCTAGGCAGTGATACTAATGCTTTTTCGCTAGATCAACAGATGGCACTAAATTAGTTGCGTTGTCTTTGGCACGTACTACGTGTGTTCAGTGACCGCTTAGTGAAGAGCGTCTTGTTTTGTTTGCCAGATGTACAGTAGCGCAAGTCTCGAGAGGAGCGGAGGTTAACTCGGCTGCGAGAAATGAAGTCACTGACGTCCAACCTTCCAAGCTGGAGTCCGCGTGACCCGCCTTGTGCTAGGCTTGAGACTTTACAGGACATGGCTCGCAGTCGACACGATTATTGTGCGGGATAATGGCTGATTATAACGTGGGGCAGTAAAAGCTGCAAGGAAGCTGTCTCCCCAGTAGCGCCTTATCTTTGCACGATTGTCAACCGTTTGTGATGGTATGTTCTTAACACAAGGTGTAGGCGCTTTCACCCAGTGTTTGTTTAAGACATTAAGCTTTTATGCCAAGTGCCCCCTTCTTTCCCCGTTCTTCGTTCCGTAAGTCCCCGTGGTTGTACGGCAGGGAACCATCAGTTCAAATGGCTGGTGTACTGCTGTTGATGATACTGATGGCGCTCGGTGTTACAGACGCGCCAGGATGTACCGAATATTCAGACCTCTAGCTCATATAACCCCCAGTCTTACTGTCTATCTCATCTGAAGCTACCTTGCTCATTTTTGCTCTTTTTCCGCTCGCACTCAGTTTGTAGATATCATTTGTTCCTGAATAGTTGCACTTAGGGCTAGCCTTTCAGCAAACTGGATTTGGAGTCTCAGAAGCCACATTGAGTATAAGTACCGAATATTTAGTCTGCCGCTAACCTTCGGCAATATGATTCACATCCGACCACCCATACTATACATCTGGACCCAGACTTCGCTTGTTAATCCAACTAACACCTATTAAGCAACCATCAGACGTAACGGAGGACGTTTACTTTGCAGCAGTGTGACTTACCGCAGGCGATCACACCACCATGATATACATGTCCAGTGAACCTATGATAATACTTGTTTACTTATTTGCTTACTAACGCCTTCTGAGTCGTTTCTGACTTAAGACAGCTTTTACCTGATGTATCCCGCTATCATAATCTACATGCGTTCTTTGGTGCTCCCTGCCACTCTCATTTTTCCAGCATGCCCGGAGTACACTCGAATTAACGGCGACCTTTTATGAGTCGTCAGTCTTAATTTGTTATCTATCAAAGCGTCGTCACAATGATGATCAGCCTTGAATGGGAGCATTCTAGAGGCTCATCGCTTATCCCAATCTTCTGCGTATTGACAGTAGAAGTACAATGTCCACATTGGGCACGGGCACTTTCTTATTTCGAGGTTTCTGTCTGCAGGCGTTCTATCATCACATTTGCTTACCGCGACAGTCCGTCCTTGTATTACTTGCTTTTAACGATTCTTCTTGTTGTTTTTATCCGTCTTCGTTCAAGAAGCACACAGGGGAAATCGGAGCTGCTCCCGGTCAATCTCAGGCAGCAGAAGTAAGCGGTCAGCCGTCTCCCGGCCTATCGCCTAGCGCCAAATTCAAAGCATGTGCCAAAAATTTGGCGATGTTCGAGCGCTCTATGACCCGGGATGTTGGCACCTATTTGTACATGAGCCCCGAGGTCCTGGACAACAAACGGAAGCGGCTGTTCTATGACGAGGTAACTGTATTCCATACAGTCAGTTTGTTTGTTTAGCATACATATCTGCAAACCATTTCATCTTTATGGTCGCTTTGAACCGGCTGGTTAACTCGTGGTCAATTATATGATGGGTTGCATTTATATTGCTGCGAGCAGTAGGCCGCGAACATGTTCCTCGCGCAGAGCACACACACCACAAAGCGTTAGGGTTTGGTGTTTTACTTTAGTCTTTGTTGATACCAGCAGCAGCTCATACCATCAACAGCTTGACTGCTGGCGCCAATACAACCGTCCATTTGAACGACGCTGCCTTGTAATCAGTGATACAGGACACGTCTTAAGTTGCGAAACAATATTGATGTACTGTTCCACTGGACTTACGCATTATGTTATCCTAACAATGAGGGAGTCATATCCTCTTTCGTAGACCCTTCTAGTTGGTCATTCGCCCGACGTAACCTCTCTCCGCTGCGGCATCATGAACAATGCCCGTTCGTGGACATCTAAACCATTTCACTTAGAAGAAAAATGTGGGATTATTGTGGACCTCCACTTGCCCTGTGGCCCCTAAAGGTACAATATACAGAATTCCGGGTTACAACCCGGAAAGAATAGAATGGGTCTGCCTATCTTATACTTATGCGGAGCCCAGGCCGATCTTTATCGGTTCAATGATTTTAACCAACGACAAACCGCTACATCAGGATTCGTATAATCAGCTGGAGACATATACAGTTGCATGGCTACCTTTTCACGTCACGAAACCAATTATGAATGTCTGGTTGTCAGTCGACAAACGTACGTAACTTTTTGGCTCTCCATTTTTATTTTGGAGCTTCCGGAGTCCAGGGTCGACTGTAATTGCATTTTATTGCTTCCCTATTTATCAACTCTAGGCACCCGATTGCTTTCGGTAGCATTCAACATCCATTAGTAAAGGCACTTTTTCATTGGTCATTCAACGAGGCGTTTACAGTAGCACTGAAGACAGCAATAGCCCTAGCGGTGACCCCATTATAACTCTATATCTCTAATAACATCATTCAAACTAGAATTGTCTTCTGAAAGTGCCTCGTAAGATCAGTTCTTCCAATTTAAGTGATAGGATGCCTGCCCATATATATATATATATATATATATATATAATCCCTGATGAAATTGACAGTTTCTAGCACCAGAACTTTTGTGTAAAGTGACTCGGTATCGAACGATAGCACTAATTTCTCATCTATTCCTAGATGCTACAATAGTGTAACAAAATCGAAGGGATATTTTAGTATGAGCACACGGTGCTTTGCGCACAGGTTCTAGCAGTTCCACAATCCATTTGGCGACCGAGTGGAAGGCGAAGTAGACAAGTCAATAACCGGGTGCAAGGAGATGTGCGGTTTGCACTTTCGGTAATCCACGCAGTCGGGGTACATGTGATCCGACTGGAGTTAGCTGACCAAATAATCCATCACATTCAAATCTAGCAGTTGCTTCAACGGACTAGTTATTTCTGTCTCATTCTGTGTGTATCTATCATTTTGTACTGTATCGCGCATGAACTAGCCAGTATCTTAAGGAATTGTACGCATTTTTGAGATGTAGTCTGATTTCTCCATCCGAACCCATCCTTCGCCTTTGTCTGGTCGGGAAATGATCAATTCAGGATTCCATCTCACTTCTGTGATGGCATCTCGGTGTCTTCTAGACAGGACTTTGGCAGATTTTGTCTCGTAGTTCATATACTGCTGTCACAGTTGCATCAAGATGGTTTTGAATGTGTCACTGGCAATGGGAGAGTTAGGAGGCAATCTGGACAGCTGGGGCATTAGGTTCCTAAACTGGGTTTTTATATGAACTTGTCCATGATGTGGTTGAAAATGCTGAAGTTTCAGACCTAGTGCTAATGCCCCTAGTTCTAGTGTTCTACCGGAAAACTTGTTTCTGGTGGTGTCGGCTGCAGGCTTTTCAACAACCTTGTGTCATTTTTATCGTCCTTTTTTGCATATACTTGGTCCGTGTATCCTTTGAAGGACTCAAAATGGTCTGTTTAGAGATCATTACCCTAGTTTGAAAGAGTGAACTCGGGATTTCACTGTCACAAATAGGTTTTGAGCATGACGCTTTAGAGGGTTTGACCTCGACGGAATGTGGCACTGCCTGAGTGACTTCCAGTGAACTATAGGACATTAATTACCGTGTACACTTTCCTGCAAGCATCGAATTTCCGTCTTCTTTTCTGCAAGTCTGGCGTTAAATTTCAAATACTTATTGAGCTCAGTTAACGCTGCGGGCGGCTTGCTTCTTTTCAGCTCGTGAAATATGGCCATAGCGATGTAAACATTCAATTCAGCGAAAATTTTCTCTACTACACTACTCATTAGGCTAGTACATATGGGGTTAAAATAGCGATAGGCTAAGGTTGTCTGATTCCCCTTGTTGATTGTGCACTTGACTGATTTTGATTAAAACCGGTTGGACTGCTTCTTAGCTGTTCCCATAAGAAGCATTCCGATCACCTTCGGGCTTAATATCCTGCCTGTGTTTGCATGAACCTATTTGCATTAGTCCTTCACTGAAACCACTTTTTTTCAACGCTATGTTTATGTTGATCGTTCTTCGATTAACTATCTGTACATCTTCAGCAACTGTAAACATCATATTCACCACTCTGGTACTCTTGCATTGGCACCTGACCTCATGTGGTCACCGTCGACCTCTTGCATCGTTGCTGCATATCAGCATTCTCCGCAGTTTAGCCGTTCCTTTTCTTAACACATTTTCGAGTGAGCTTTCCGGTTAGGTCTTAATCTTCCAGTTGTTGTGCTTGGCACTATTAAATAATCCTTCTACACCTTTCTTTGATTAATTTAGCTACACCCGCTTACATATACCTTTCGTTTTCAGCGCGTTGACATATACAGCCTGGGTATCATCCTATTCGAAATGTTCTACCACGCCATGCCCACTGTGGCCGAACGAATCGAGGTATTGTCTGAACTTCGCAAAGAGCAAATTGTTTTTCCTGCGGATTGGCACACCAAAAAGCTGTCCAACCAAACACGGTTGATTCGTTCCATGCTCGAGCATGATCCCGATCGCCGTATAAGTGCATCTGTAAGCTATCAGTATTATCAGCTCTCATGCGTGTTCATCCTCTGATGGATTGAATTCGACACATCTTGAAACAAATCACCCTTCTCTTTGTTAGGATCTGCTCGCTTCTCCTTACGTGCCACCGCTGAAATCCACGGAAGCGGCTTTTCGTAAGCAATTGGTTGAAATTTGCAAAGAGCCAAATAGCAAAATGTATCGATTTGTGGCAAACACTATGTTTGCGCAATCTTGCTCTCGTGCAACAGTGAGTTCTCGTGTACTCTTGGGTTTTCACATCTTCACAGCAACTTGTCGCCTATTAGTGTCTCCCTTCGCAGCACCATTTGATCCTGGTAAATTTTTGCTTCGTTCTTTATTTTTATCCAGGTCTGTAGTGGTCACTTGATTGTTTTATTCCACACCATAATTTTCGTATAAGCAACAAACCATTTAGGTAAGTTGAGCAACGCGCAGACTAATGAAAACTTCACCACAGTCGGAAGTGCTGTGCGTTACTATTGAAAAATTATAGAGCAGGAACTATAATACATATCTAAACATCACTGAGCAGGCAAGCCTGGAAGTGCAGTCGAACCGGACCATAGGAGCAACGGGGCGGCAGAGCTACGATGTACAAACCTCAACGATTTCTGCATACGGCTACATATAAGCACCCGACTATACTCGATCAGATGATTCAATTCGAATAGTATAATGGAAGAGTTTTAGGGGGACAGTGGACCTGTGACACAGCAAGGCCACGTATCAGTGCACGATGGATGTGGCGTGTAGTCAGGACCTCTGATGAACCATCGAACGGACCGTCCACTTTATGGTGCGCAGGTGTGGCCCGAAAAGGGGGCTTGCCACACGATGTGGGGATGAACTTGTGCGATAGCAGGTTAGAACAGGTTATTTGGCATGAGAACATTTGTGGCCACGTTGAATATCTTTGGACAGATGGTGCCGGACGTAGTAGAGACTGGCCGCTGCGCAACCAAGTAAACGAAACTGTCGTGGTACAAAGTAAAACCTTTGTTAGAAGAGGATTGTTCCCAACGCAAAGTTAATGATGGTACGAAGTCTTTCATGGATCATCACCGTACAGCTATTCCGGATGAGAAGTTACCACTGCCGCTTGCGTGATTGGGCTGTGACATTTTTTACCTCTGCCGAGACATGCATTGGAATACTCTCTCACAATCTTCGCTGTAGACAACCTTGGGGTCGTGCAAAATTTAATTTCCTACTGTCACGCTACTTGAAGGACCTGCGTATTAAGCGGTCCATTCGGTAATCACAACACTCCTTTTACCTCACCTCCACAGCATGTTCAATCCAATCACACCAAAGGAACTCATTGTGTTTGAGAAACGGCTTCTCTCTCTCTCTTTTCACGTTTTTACTGTTAGTTTTTTGTGCAGTTACACGCTGGTCTGAGGTTATACAGGCATCCAAAGAAATAACGACAAGTTGCCCGAACCGCTGACTCCTACTGTCTGTCACAGTGACCAACTTTAACCAACTGACTGTGCACTTACAGTGAAAGATCCCCGAGGGATTCGGTGTGTAGCCCACGGCGCCTGACACGTCGCTACCGCCGAGCTCCGAACAGCCCAGCGGCCTCAACCTTTTCACAAAGTTGTTTTGTGAAGTGGAACAGCTGAATCCGAACTGCAGCTCTCCATCATTTTATTTGCCTATAATCTCCAGCTGCTGCCGGAATGAGTTTTGCTCCCGCTCGCATTAGTGTCTCGACCTGAATTCCATGGATTCTTCCCATGGCTTATTAATCTTGCTTTCTAGATGGCAACCACTCATGTCACTCCTGACTGCGCAACGGTGGGGCACCGTTTCCGGCGTATCAGTTATAATGTTTGTAGTCCCTCAAGTTTCCTCTCTCCTGTGCCCTCTTTCGAACCCAATCTCCAAACCTCCACCAGGTTAATCACTATGAATTGTACCTCTCTCGAACGCCACTGGTTGTTGCATTTCTGCATTCATTTTTGCAGCCTGCATGTATGTCATTGTATGGTTTCACTAGCACCGCTTTTCCCACCCGCTGCTACTCATCGCCCTCTTTTACGCTTCTATTAAGCATTTACTATATTTGTTATTGCAGGATATCCTTTACGATCGCGAGATTGGGTCAGAATTTTTGCTCGGCAATCTGTCTTCCGATGATCCTGGCTTAGAATTGGACAATCGCAGCTGGACTTCGATCACCTCGTGTGAGATGGAGCATCAGCTCCACTTGGCCTATCAGAGTGTGCACAGGTGCTTTCTTCTCATCTTGAACTAGGATATTGATTTCTAATTTTTATGCTTACGTTTTTATTTGTTACAGTATATCGCCGCATTTCAGCTCAAATCTTAACCCCGCTGTTTTTGCCACCTTTTTTAGAACATTGGTGCGTCAACTGGAGTCCATTTTTCTCGTACACAATGGCGTCTTCCTTCAACCTCCGTCATTGATGCCAGTGAGTGAAGGACCAGTCTCCCCTCCGCAGCCCAAACCCGAGTCTTCCCCAGTTCCCACCAAGACAAGTACTCAGTCTTTAGACCAGTCTATATCCAAGGCACGCAACACTATCGCGTCCACTGGCCCGGTGTTCCTAGATGTGCATGGCTCACCTGTGTGTCTTTCTGACTCATTGCACTTACGCTTCGCTCGATACTTGGCTCGTTCTGGTTCCGTGCTGCTCACAACCGAAGAGGACTTTTGCCTCAAGCGGTATCAGTTCGGTCGTGTCTATCGTGCGGGTAATCACACTCCGTCCGCCACCGATTGGCAGCCCAGTCTGTCTGATCATCCACTGGAAACCGAGCAAGCTGCTTTCGATGTAGTCACTCAGTCACTCAGGTAAGAACTGAAGCTTACGTTTTGCCTGACCACATCCTCTGTTGATTTTTTCTCGCATGTTATAGATCACGGTTTGTGAACCAGTTTTATGGGCTAATCGGGTTTTTTCGACCTAATCCACGCATCACGTGAATTCTAAATATGGGCAACTGGTCCTACCATTGACTACTTACTGTTTAGCAGTAGTCTCGGGTTGTATTGCAAGTTGGCGTCGTCACCTGCAACCTGCTTCCGAGCAAACTGACGGCACTTCCTTTTGCTCAATTTTTGTCGTGCAAAACATTTTAATACATCACCTGTTTAGGATCTAGATCTCCTGCTGGTTGGTACTTGTTCTTGGTAATACTATGCAATCCAACGTGGGGTCTTTTCTATATGGTGGTTGCGTTGTCTGTTAGTTCATAGGACCGCTGATTTTACACTGAGTTGCTATTATTACCTAACGACCTCGTGCCATTGTTTGGCCCTTCCGCCTAGTATGGTACTTTTGGCTTATTTGAATTTCTGTTGACGGTAAAACCAACTTTACTATAATGATGTTCGGTTGTTCCACCCACTTTTCGCACCACTGTAAACCCTAGGGTAGGAGACTAAGATACTCGCGGCCAAATTTTTGTTTCGATACAAAAGGGTTCATGCCGATAGCACAGTTTACCTACTTTATAAATGAGCAAACTGCCCAAGCACTCGAACCTTAACTGACCTATTGCGCAACCTGTGCGTTGAAGCTGTTGCCAGGCTTTCTTAATGAATGCTTATGTCCGGTTCAAATGGGAGTGAAACCCTCACGTTGACCACAAAGTTAGCGCTATGTGAACCACGTTCTTTCGTACAAGCCCTCCTGGAAACCATTCTCTTGAAGCCTAAATACGTTTCTTGGTCACAATAAATAAGCATACATGTGGGTCACGTTGGCAATTGAAATGTTACTCACAGTCTGTGTGT